TTTCTCCGCGTCCTTCCTTTATTACCCTGCCTAGGCCCACCGCTATACTTTCCCCGCCCCAAGAGCACCGGAATCTGCTGGCCAAGCATATCATATAGGTTGTTCTTTGCCGAGCTTCAAGTTGGACCCCAGAAACCAGTCCGGACCCCAGAAACCAGTTAGGGTATTGCAGCAAGATAAAACAACCTTTCTTTCTCTTAATTTCCCTCCCTCTCTTCTACACTAGACTTTCCTACCATCTCTCTCTTTTTTTCTCACTCCTTTATTAAACAGAAGTTCAAATAACTCTTCTACTCTAGTTATGAACATACACAGTTTTGAATCTAATGCTCAGTCTTCCACGCTAGCCTTGTTGCATATTGAGATTGCAATCTGTATCTTATTGGATTATACTCTATCTGTTGTATGACTTGTGGATTTTTTTGTTTGTTTTTGTTTATATCTTTTTAATATGCAATTTGACTTATTTTACATGTCAGTGATTGTAACACTTCTATTACCTCTTATGTTTATAAACTCTATATTTTCTCTATAAAGGTTTAAAACAAAAAAAATGAGTTGGGCTCCTCTGCTTCACATGATACAAGGTACAAATTGGTACATACTGAGTTTACTGCACACCCTTTTCAATTGCAACAGTTGTCCTAAGATTGATTCCTGTGGCCCTAAGTTTTTCACAAGGTCCAAGTAGCATACCTATCTTTGATGATTTTCAGAGATCTTGTCTTGTGCAGATTGTTCAAAGGTTTTGTTAAATAGCCAATACCAGTGTTGTCTTGTCTGTGTCCTATATCTTTATCTCAGAAGTGTGTTGGTTCCTTGTGTGGTAATGCATTCCATAAAGGATTGATAAAAGTTCTTATTTGTCAAGAACTGGTGAGCCACAACTGTCATTTTTTCAAATAGAGCTGAACAGTAAATAAGAGGGGAACACTGGCAAGATCTGTCTATCTTCAGAAATTTTGTGTTCGCCGTGGAATTTTAATTGCATGTTCTGTTTCATCATTTAAAATGCTTCCCATTAAGTTATATTGCATTGTGCAGTTTTAAAACTCCACATGTGTTTATATGAATTTCAAAACTCCCCATATGTTTACAAGTTTACAAGAAGCGGGACCTGTGATACTCGCCGGGGGGGGGGTATTCTCTGCGGCTCCCAGGTGGCTGGCTTGCTGAAGTACAGAGGAGGAGGTGGCAGCGGCCGCAGGTGAGCCCAGCAAGTGGTCCGTTGGGCTCGCCAGGCTTCCCCCCCACACCCAGCAGCAGCAACGGCCACGGCTCTAGCCACCGGAACTCCAAGGTTTCTCCCCCCCCCGCCACTGCAGCCAACAGCAGCAATGGTGCGCGTTGTTCCTCTCACCCACGGGGCTCCCCCCCCCCGACAGCAGCAACGGCCGTGGCTCTAGCCACTGGCCCTCCAAGGCTTCTCCCTTCCTTCCTCCCTCCCTCCCTCTGCCGCCGCTGCCAGCAGCAATGGCGGCAAGCCCTGTATGGCCGTCGGCCAGGCCAGGCTCCCCCCCAACTGCCAGCGCACCAAAGCTTCTCCGCCGCATGCCGCCACCACTGCCAGCAGCAACGGCTCTGCTACAGTGCCTAGTGGTAAGTGCGTTCCCTGCGCATGCACAGGGAACACTCTTTTACTTTTTGGGGGATTTAAGTATCCCCCTATATTTTTTTCAACTTTTCAGATTTTTCTGCACATCTGGGTATTGCCCCAAATGTGCAGGAAAATCCCTTTGCCCTCTAGGTGCCCCTGATGTGCAGATTTAGATATCCGCATACAGGGGACGCCTTGGCTATTAGATATATAGATACATATTTGTACTTAACATCCATTACAGTGGTGGACAACTGCAGAATTTATATTTAGTTCATGAGAAACATACTGCATTCAGTGTTGCTTCGAAACATCTGTCAGTGAGTTCTTCTATCCTGGAGCAGTATTACCCTAAAGATAGTTATGTTATGCACATCGTGACTTTCAGTCCAGTATTACTAAATAATGTGGGCAAGAATGACTACTAGTGCTGTGACCTTTGAACAACTAAATCCTGTGCATGTTTATTGTGTTGAGAGTTGTTCACTTCTCAGTATGTATAGGAATGGCTTAGGCAGGACTTCCGGTTTATGGCGACATGCTGGCAGTTGCACCTCCTGGGGGTGCAGTCTGCGCGCTAGTGGTTACGAGGGGGGCGATTGTTTGCTACCCCCACCGGAGTCTTTGTGAAAGGCTTCTAGCCATGGGGCTTTTGAAGGGTGGCCTCTTAAGGGCCTGGAGTGACGGGGCTGGGGGTTGCGGAGGCGTCTTCAGGGCCCCGCACGGCAGCACGGGCCTGGAGAGACGGGGCTGAGGGGTGGCGGAGGCCTTTCCAGGGCCTGGAAAGGCGGGGGGGATGCACAACTTACCTTACTTCTTCTTTGTCCTCCCTGACCGACTGAAGGAAGGGCTGTTGGGAGCAGGGGGTGGGGCTTGCTACATGTCCTCGCCCCCTGGCCACCTCTCCGCCGGAGCGTTGCTCCAGTGAGCTCCGGCCCGAAACGAGGCCAGATTGTACAAATTTAACAGTCTGAGATGGTTCTCTTTACTAGATGATTTGTAATTTACAACTTAGTTACCTGCACTATACTTCCTTTCTGTTCTTCTATCCATGTGCTTGTTGCCATAACCCTTAAGGCAGGGGTGTCGAACATGCGGCCTGTGGGCTGGATCGGGCCCTCAGAGGGCTTCTGTCATGCCCAAAGTGGAACTGACTGTTTTCTGCTTCGTTTTCCAGTTCTGCTGCTACGTTGCAGCTTGCTTTACCAGACTTTCTCAGTCGCACAGGAGAGATAGATAGGCAAGCCTCTCCTGTGCGATTGAGAGTGTCTGGTAAAGCACTGGCTGAGTCTCCTCTCCCTCCTCCTCCCAGGGGGAGGGAGAGAACCAGGGGAGGGATGGGGCTCTCCTGCCCTCCCCCGAGCCGCAGCGCTCCTGTGCGGGCCCAGGGGACTCGGCGACGGGGCTCTCCTGCCTTCCCCCAAGCCGCAGTGCTCCTGTGCGGGCCCGGGGGACACGGAGGCGGGGCTCTCCTGCTGTCCCCTGAGCCACAGCACTCCTGCGCGGCCTGGGAGATGCGGAGGTGGGGCTCTCCTGCCGTCCCCCGAGCCGCAGTGCTCCTTTGCTGGTCCAGGGGATGCGGCGACAGGGTTCTCCAGCCATCCCCGAGCTGCAACGCTCCTGCGTGGGCCTGGGTGACGCGGCAACGGGGCTCTCCAGCCTCCCCCGAGCCGAAACGCAGCAAGCTAGGGGCAGGGCTTGTCACCGCTGCCATTAGCACGGGCTCCTGGGCTGCCGGAGCAGCGCTCTGGCCCCAAAGACCCTGGGAAGTGACCATCTTAATGATAGCAGATTAATCTTTTTTTGAAGGCTGAACAGCTTTGCAACTGAAAGTATAGTCTCCTGTTATTTCTCTGTCTCTCCACACCTGTCTTTAACTGCTTAGCATGGCGGCGGCTGCTTTTTGGCCCAGAAAGGATCTTGTGTGCAAAAAAAGTAGAGGGGAAAGTTAGGTTACAACCTGGCCTTTCCTCCACACCAATAAGAGAAGGTAGTTCCATGTTTTCATGAACGTTGGGTAGCAGAGAGAGAGAGGGAGAAGACAGGAATCTCTATGAGTCAAAATGATGTAACACATGAACAAACATTTGACAGCCTCTATCATGCATATAGTTGATTTGCATGATTAGACTGACATAACCTGCAGAAACAAATTTCACGGACTACATGTGGTTGCTGCTCACTAAATAATGGAAAGTAGAATTTGTAATGGGTATTAAAAAGCTACCTCTTTGCCTAATGCGTAAGAGAAATGTTGTGATCTGAAAACTGCTGGAGACCTGTTGCTGAAATGTAGCAGTGGTGTGAGCAGGTGGGTAGGCGGGAAACAGTTTGCCATGTCATGTACTTTCCAAGGGCTATTATTTTCCTTCAATAATTGGCAATTATAGTTCTATAATAAGAGCTGCAAATTGTTGAGCGTTTCATAGGTTCTACAGTTTTAAGTCTGATGATGATATCCTCTGCATTTCATCTTGAAAAAACTATCTTGTATCAGTCACTTCATGGGAGAAGTGAAGAAATAGACTTGACTAAGCTTTTACTAAGGCTTAACATCTTTCATGTGAGAGTGATGTAAATAACTCTCTTTGACAGATAACAGGTAGGTACTGACTTTTTGAATACTTGATTGATGGTAGGCAGTTGGGTTTCCACTGCTTTTGGAAAGGAGAGCAGGGCTGACTGTCCTGGATACTGAATCTGTTTGTTGTGCTTTACAGAAGCTTGCAGGCAGGGATCCCCCCCCCCCCCCCCCCCCCCCGTATTGATAAATATGTCTAGATACAGCTGCAGGTGGAATCCTATTGTCATCCTGGGATACAGTTGAACACTGTATGAAGAACACAAATCTGTTAGTATACTTTGGGGAACAAATTTAGTCTCCTGATAAGCAGAGAAATTGGTGCAGCAAGTACAGGTTAAAGATACAGCCGTGAACTGTGATTTAGTCGTTTACTGTTTCATGAAAATCATCTGATTTTGTACAGAAAAGCATGGGGTGAATATGTTCATGTTTCAATATGCCATTGTCTCTGCAGGCTTGTATGACTTGCAATATAGCTTTGTTTAGAAGAGCAGAGATCTTTGAAGCCTAATTTTCAGCCAGTTTTTTCTTTGTTATCCGTTTTTTAATGCAAGTGTGTAATTTCCTTTTTGAAAAAGAGCTAAAAAGCTTTGGCTGGATTTTGGAGTAAAGTAATATATCTGCCTCACAGAAAAAAATGCAGTTTATGCTTAATCTTCAGAAGGGACGAAACTGGTTTGATTTTCAGGTGCTGCCTGTTTGCAGTGTAAGATTTGCTTCCAAATTTGCCCATGAATTTTGTATTCCAGTCATGTAGTGGTAGACTGCTGCTGATGTCACAGTTTCCTTATCAGGATTTTTTTGCTCTTTGTTTCACAGGGAGCTGTGATTGGTATAGATGATGAGGACGACAGCACCTTCACAATAACTGTTGATCAGAAAACCTTCCATTTCCAGGGTGAGCTGAAAGAAGAGGTTCTTTCTTATAATAGATCATTACTGATATTCCTTATGCTTTACTATTTAATGGACTAATTTTAAGTATTTGAGATAATTAACTGCACGAGAAATGTGCAGGGAATATTCTGGAGTCAGAAGCACTGTAGGTTAGGCAGGGATTTATATCTGCATTGTATACATGTGTGCTAGAAACTGCTGTAGCTTTGGCAGGATCTGAAGATTAAAAATTTAAAGGATATATCAGTCAAGGGAAAAAAGAATAATGGGCATTCGTTGATGGGTTTTGCTTGCAAAAAACCAAACCTACCACCAGTCTTCATTATCAAGATGCGCTGTTATGCCTTTCTGTATGAAGAAAGCCACAAGATCGCATGGAGGTTACAGCTTTTGTTGATGTAGTATTCAAATATGCAGGGAGACCAGAGACAACGTTTGATTTAAAGGTGGACTTTGCTTCAGGATCTACAAGTTCTCACTCATTTCATCTATATTTCTTTGTTCTTGTCTGCTAATCACCATTTTCCTGCTCTTATCCTTTTTCATATTTACTAACTCCAATGCCATCTGTTACTGCTATGTTTCGTCATTGCATGTTGTGGTTCACCAGTAGAAAGGGTAAGGTAATGTGTTTTTCATTTGTGCTTCTAAACAACTCCCAAATATCTTTTACCAACAAGACTGGTAAATATTGTCATTTTTATAAGCTGCTTCCATGTTCATGGTTACATTCTGTGTTTTATATAATGGCTTTCTCTGCTGTTGGTATCTGGTAATTTTCTCCTTTTCATTTTCAGATGAGTTGCAAAGTATATGTTTGGCTTGAAACCATAAGCAATTAAGTGTAAAAATTAAAGACTGGCTTAAATCTTGTTTCTAATACTGCTAAATTTGCAGTGTAGCAATCCATATTTTACCTTATATTGTTTAGTAAAGGAAACACAGTTAGATAATTACATTGTCAGATACCTTGAATGATAAATATTGAGCTCCATACTGTGTGCACTTGTAGTTTGTTGCTGTATCTTCTCAGTGACTCAGCTATCCTGTGGCTTTTATCTGGCTAGATAGAGGTATCATAAAAATTATTTGTATAACTCCAGGCAGACAAGATCACAAATACTTAATTTCTTTGCTCTAAAGATTGAGTCATTAATAGACCCTAGGCTGCAGCTGTTCTTCAAAAGCTAGGAACTGTATTGTATAGTTTGATGCAGTTGAAATCTGCAGTTTTTCACTGCAGCTATTAAAGGAATGCCTTTTGCAGTTCTCAGTTTGCAGTAGTTCTGTAGCTGTTGTGTTGCCTACTTGCTGAAGAGAAAGCCTTTTGAAATTGAAGTTAGTAGAACAAGGTAATTCAAAATAATGTGATTTAGATATTTGATATATTTCCTTTCATATAAGAATTCTTATTATATATATATAAATAAAATAACTTTATTGTGACTTTGCAGTACTGGTTCTTGCATACCATGATATTGCACTACTTAAAAATTAGGAGGTTACATTATTTAAGAAGGGAGCTCATAGCTAACCATCCTCAAATGAGTTCTTGGCTACCAATCTTTAACAAACTATCTTAGTGGTACATTATCGGTTCAAGATTGCATCTTTAATTTCAGTTCTAAGTTTAACATATTCAGGGCTCTAGTCGGGGGGGAGCTCTCAGGTACGGAGCTCCGGAAGAGAACCTCTAGGGGGCGGGGCGGTCACGTGGTGAAGCCCCGCCCCCTTCTTTACCCCGCCCTCTGCTTCGATCCTCATTCCGTTTGGGAATGAGGATGAAGCAGGAGGGTAAGTAGCCGGGCCTTCTGACACACTTCCGGTGATGTCAGGGGGTGTGGCCTTCTGTCACTTCCGGTGATGTCAGGGGGCGTGGCATATGCAAATAAGTTATGCTAATGAGTTATGCTAATGAGCTCCGGCAGCTCTTTTTCTACAACAAGACCCCTGAACATATTCATTAGTGGTGACATTGTGAGTGCAGATTACTCTTGAGTGCTGACAGAATAATATCTCTTTTAGAATTTGGCCAGTACTGATGATTCATACATGTCTATAAATGTAATAACCTTGTTCAAACCCCTCCACGTGCACACTAGCATAGAGGCTTTGCTTCCCCCCAAATGAATGGTTGAAGACCTTGACAGTGGGATAGCTCCATGAAAATATTATCACTCCTGCATCAGCAAGGAAGTGCTGGATCAGGATTCTTGATCTTATTTGAACACTTGCAGTCTAATATTATAAACTACTTTAAGGTAAAGGTTTCCCTTGCTCGAAAGCTAGTCAAATCTGACTCTAGGGGGCGGTGCTCATCTCTGTTTCCAAGCCAAAGAGCTGGTGCTGTCTGAAGACTTCTCCGTGGTCATTTGGCCAACATGACTAAACGCCGAGGCGCGCAGAATGCTGTTACCTTTCCACTGAAGTGGTACCTATTTAACTACTTGCTTTCAAACTGCTAGGTTGGCAGGAGCTGGTGCCAGAGACAGGAGCTCACTCCGTCATGCAGCACTAGGGTCTCAAACTGCCGAACTACAGACCTTCCGGTCTGCAGGTCAGTGTGTTAACCCCTGAGTCACCGAGGCCCTAATAAACTACTTTAGGTTGTTATAAAACTGCCTTCCCTTTTCAGACAAATTGGATGTTCTCTTTCATGTCAGAATTTCTAAACCAGATTAGATTTTCATGCAATTTGCCAGTGGTAAAGGATACACTAAAGACTTCAAAAGCATGCACAGTTTTCTCCGCAATTTCAGAGCTGATTTCAAGCTGAGAGGAAAGAATATTGTTCTTGTGGAATTACCATTGATACGTTGGATCATTGAAATTAATTGGACATGGGAGAAAGTTTAGACATATACTTGGGGGCAATCCACGGAGGTGAGCATTGAGAAATAAAGCATTTGATGTTTGCATATCCCCACTCTCTTAATCTGCATTCCCCTTCCCAGTTCTGTTTCTTGGCTATGGTAGAACATGACAGATTGTTTAGAATCCACAGTTACAAGATGGAAGAATTGCAAAGAGTAGGGGGAATAATCAGTTGGGACACAATCTGTCACTGTAGTGCTAGTGCTCTGAGCAGCAGATTTCTTATCTGGCACTGAACCTGACCAGTACATCCGATGCAGTGGGACAGAGGAAGCCTGCATATATTACCCAATCTTAATTTAACTCCCTTCTAGGATGCTACAATCAATTAGGTACACCGCCCCTTGAAGCCTAAAAAGCTGTTGGGGGGTTATGCAGTTAATTAGGACCACAAGAGGTGCCTTTTTTTCAATCCTGATTGATCCTTCTGTCAGGACTTTTTTCTCTTAAAAATGGTCAGAGCCTTAAAACCTTACAATACCTTGGTGGGATGGGCATTAGGGCTTGAATATATGTGCTTTCTGGCATACATCCTTCCTCTCCAAGATACTATAGGCTATTGGGATTAAAAAAGGGCAATTTCTCTTCCTTACCTATTTATCTGAAGTTCGGCATTTCTGTTCCCAAATTCATGAAGGTCAATGACTATGTGCAGGATCAAGCTATCTTAATCTGTAAATTAAGAATGAAAGGTTTTTATTTATACCTAGAGTGTCCCTCAAATATGCAGAAAAATCTGCTTTGTTGCAAGTAGCCCCATTTCTTTGTGCTTCTAATCAGCACTAGTTCATAAAGTTTGCTAAAGGAGTAAAAGTTGGGCAACTGAAGAATTGTGGAGAAGGAGATGAATAGCTGGAAGATTTTTTTTTTTCCCTGCAGTGCAAGACAGCTGAACGCTGGATTGAGATGCATTAAGAACATAAGAACATAAGAGACGCCAATGTTGGATCAGGCCGAAGGCCCATCCCATCCAACACTCTGTGTCACACAGTGGCAAGAAATACCAGGTGCCATCAGGAGGTCCACCAGTGGGGCCAGGACATTAGAAGCTCTCCCACTGTTGACCCCCCCCCCAAGCACCAAGAAGACAGAGCATCACTTGCCCAAGAGCCCCTATCAATACCTTGTGGCTAATAGCCACTGATGGACCTCTGCTCCATATGCTTATCTAATTCCCTTTTGAAGCCGTCCATGCTTGTAGCCGCCACCACTTCCTGTGGCCGTGAATTCCATGTGTTAATCACTCTTTGGGTGAAGAAGTACTTCCTTTTATCCATTCTAACCCGACCGCTCAGCAGTTTCATGGAGTGCCCACGAGTTCTTGTATTGTGAGAAAGGGAGAAAAGTACCTCTTTCTCTACCTGCTCTTTCCCATGCATAATCTTATAAACCTCGATCATGTCACCCCTTAGTTGTCGTTTCTCCGAGCTAAAGAGCCCTAAGCGCTTTAACCTTTCCTCATAGGGAAAGTGTTCCAACCGTTTTATCATTCGAGTTGCCCTTTTCTGCACTTTTTCCAAAGCTATAATATCCTTTTTAAGGTGTGACCAGAACTGCACACAGTATTCCAAATGAGGTTGCACCATTGATTTATATAGGGGCATTATGATATTGAAATATCAAATAAGGATAACCGTTTTAAGTGATTTAGGCATCTCAAAGTGATTGCGAAAATTTGGATTGATTGACTTGTTTTCTCTCCTCAGCCAGGTTTGAAATACTGGAGTAATTGAAACTGAGTGATTATATTTGTATTTCAATTACATGTGCTTTAGTATCTGAAGAAGTGAGCAGTGACTCACAAAAGCTCATACCATAAAACTAATTTTGTTAGTCTTTAAGGTGTTACTGGACTCTTGTACTTTTCTATTGCTAGAGACAGACTAACATGACAACTCATCTTGATCTAATTCAGTGTGTGTGTGTTACATGTCATCATGTCGCTTCTGACTTATGGCAACCTTATGCAGTGGCGTACCAAGGGGGATGGTCCGCCTCTGGTGCCACTTGAGGAAGGCCCTTGAAGGGGACCCTTGAAACACTTCTTTGCTTTTGTTTTTAAAATGCAGTTCTGGATGCAACCACTAGGGGCACAGGAAAGTCTGAGCACTGCGAAAAGCTTTATGA